ATACCATACCATACCATACCGTACCATACCATACCATACCATACAGTACCGTACCGTACAGTACCATACCATACCATACCATACAGTACCGCACATGCCACTTTTATTTATAAAGCACTGAAAACAGCACAAGGCCAGCCAAAATGCTGTAGAGTAGACAGACACAAACTAGTCACAATTTGGTGTAAGCCTCACTAAAATTAAAAGTAGTGGTACCAGGCTGTTTGCATCATCAACCTGTGTTTTTTTTTTCATGGAGGACGCAGAACCCATGATCCAGTTTTTTGTGTATCTGTTACGTAAAATATAAATCAAATGATTAAATTTGTCGTTAAGGGTCTGTTGATTTAGTAATTGTGATCTTTGTTTGTTTGTTTGTTTGTTTTCTGAATTGTGACAAAGTTCCTCGGAGCTCTGCTTCGATCTTGACCTGGCTGAAAAGGAGGGAGGGGACAGCTGCTGATCTCATGGTTGAAATCAACCAATTAGAGGCCTCAGAGGAGCTAACAGTGGTTGGATTCTTTCAGGTGAGTACTAGATATTTTACTTCTCTTTTTGGTGCTTTTTGAGACTTTAATGAAGTTTTAAACGGTCTCCATGTCTGTCTGGGTGTGTAGGAACTAAACCACGAGTACGTCCAGGAATTTTACGCAGCGGCCATCGAACTTCCTGACATCAGTTTTGCTGTGACGCAGAATGATGATGTCATCAGCAAATATGCGGTCACGCATGATGTCGTTCTGTTGCTCAAAAAWGTACTCAAACTCACAAAAATAAAAAGACTGTCAGTTTTTTATGTTTAAACTTAGAGGAATATGTTGTATTTAACTAAATGATAAACATATTTTTCAGCTTTGCTGTTTACAAAGCAACACTACATTGTAATTAGAAATATAAAGCTTTATGCAATATTTTTATGTGATTGCTCTGCCATCCATCTACTGTACTATATCAGTGTGACTGAATATATTTCTGTGTGCTGCAGTCTCAGCTCATCCAGAGTTACAGAATGAACCCTGAAACATCAAAAGAGGAGCTTATTGTCTTTATCTCCRTCTACCAGATGGACCTGGTCACGGAGTACAATGGGGAGGTAACTATAACTGGTGGAGTTTCACCTTCGAATATTTTAACAGCAACAGTTTTATGTAGTTCTTATGTGGATAGAATCAAAGAAATCACAGTCACATTTTTTAAAAATTCATTGTTTTGTTCCATCCACCCAGAACTCCACTTTAAACAGAGTTTGGGGCTCTGTGAGTGTGTAACTTTGACGTGTAATCTTGTCAAAATCATTGGTTCCACTTTGAGATAAAACATGTATTTTTGGACATTTGCTGAGTTTTCTGTCACTTGGACTTGCTAAAATATCCCCAAAGTGTTTAGAGTGTTGTTGTTTTTCTCCTTTTCTCCTCCTTCAGACAGCCTCTCAGATCTTAAGTTCCCCGGTGTTAAACCACGCACTCCTCTTTGTCAATAAGAGCTCTGAAGACTTTAAAGAGATTTTCTCTGCTTTCAGCAGTGCTGCAGAGGCATTCAGAATGAAGGTACACAACACACGCACACACAGAGGACTTTTATCTTTAATRCACAACTCTGACTCCTCCGCAGCTAAAGGCTTAACTGTAACCCTCAACCCAAAACCTAAAACCTGAAGCAACAAAGCTTGGGTTTTATTCAGATCTCTCAGTTTGGTGGTAACACAACAGTCAGACATATGAGCATTTAACACAACATATAGAAGGCAAAAGAATCAACATGGTAAATTAAGATTACCGGATTTAAACGTGTATTTAAGAGTATGAATGCAGAGGACATATTTTGATCTCTAGATGCAGAAAAGTGAACAGTTTAAGGTTTATATAAAAATAACAAGCCAAAAATAGAGTAAAGCATGTTTGAATGTGTTACCATTCCTATTCTCACCTGTGATCACAAATTCTGGGTAGTGAGTGAAAGWACAAGATTGCAGATACTGGTGGTCCAAAAGAGTTTTCTCCACAATGTAGCTGGGCTCTTCCTTAGAAACAAGGTGAGAAGTTCAGCAGTGTTGAATAAAGTACCTCAAAGTGATAGCTGAGTAAAAGTACAATTATTTTACCTTAAAATGCATTTGGTGAATGTTAAAGTTTCAACCAAGGATTTTACTTGAGTAAAAGTCTTGGTTGAAAGACTTTTACTCAAGTATTGAGTAAAAGCAAGCAGTTAGAATTTCCAAAATTACACATTTTTCACAGGACATTTTTCTAAACATCATAATGACTATAATGTTATATTAAAATGTTAATGTTGAAGACTTTGGGATACATTAGGTTCCCTGTTTCAGATGCAAATACACTTATACTGTGTATCTCTGCCACACCATCTTCATATGTCCTGGTGTAGTGTGAYGTGATTTGTGTCATGTGCAGGTGTGATGGATAATGCAAACTAATAGGGTGTCAGAATGATATATATTTATACTTCTCATMCAAACACAGGAAAATTTTGCAGGAGGCACAACTTATTTGTGTAGGTTTCTTTATATTTTTTAACAAAAAGCCGGAAAGAAAGCAAGCCAAAATGAAAAAAACAAAAACTAAAAAACTTAAATTAAAAAAATGTAGTGAGAATGTACAGGTAATTGTGTGAAAATGTAAGAAGTAGAAGTAAAAAAGTTTAATACAATTACTTAAGTACAGAAAACCTAAAATTTTCCTTAAATACAGTCATACTTCTGAAGTTCAGTTATCCAGGGGCAGACGTCTATAAAGTACTTGAAAGAAATAACTAAGTAAAAGTAAAATTACACGAACAGAAAATGACTGGTAAAAACAAATTTCACTGATGAGAAAACTACTCAAGYAAAAGTCAWAAAACTGTTCACAAAAACTGGGAAATTAAAAGTACTTTTACACACTCTCTAAGAAATAAACTGTTGAATTTACTGAACCAAACTGGTTCCACTAAGCCAGGTTGAGTAAATTGAGCAACATATGTATATTCTTTGCTCAGTTTAATCGACTAGGCTTAGTGGARCCAGATGATATGACTTTGTTGAGTAAATTCAACACTTCATTTTTAGAGTGCAGAAACATCTTCTTTCATGATGAGTTTGAACATATTTAATTTTGTAATGAGTAATTTGGTCTTACACTTTAAAGTAAAGAAGTAAAAATATGATTTTAGCTTTAAAATGTAACAAAAATAAAAGTAAAAGTAGCTATTCAGAAAAAACAGTTGGAAAAATTACAAATCCTCAAAAAAGTACTTAAGTACTGTAACGAAGTAAATGTACTTCTGTCCAGGGGAGACTCCAGAGTAGAGATGCTGCTCCTCCACATGGAGAGGAGCCAGTAAAGGTGGTTCAGGCATGTCTGTCTGGGAGGAGACCCCAGGGAAGACCCAGGAAAGGCTGTAGAGACTATGTCTGGCCTGGGAACACCTTGGAATCCTCCCAGRAGAGYTGAGAGAGGTGGCTRTGGAAAAAGAGGTCTGGACCCCCCTGCTCAAGCTGCTGCCCTCGTGACTCGATTATGCAGAAGATAATGGATAGATGGATGGATGGATGGATGGATGGATGGATGGATGGATGGATGGATGGATGGATGGATGGATGGATGGATGGAAGTTTTACCCATAAAATATTTTCAGAGTTTAAATCCTAAGCGTCTCTGTGTCTCAGATTCTGTTTGTTTTGGTGAACGTGGATGAATCTCGTAACGGCAGACTCATGGAGTACTTTCGGGTTCGGGACTACGAGGCCCCGCTCATCCGACTGGTCAACCTGACAGATCATGTCACTTACCACCTACCGTCTGAAACCCTGAATGTTGAGAACATCAAGCAGTTCTGTCAGTCCTACCTGGAGGGAAAGGCTAAGGTAACTCACTCATATGTTCCACAGCATGTGGCATGGCTGTTGGTGGGCTAGTTAGCCTGAGTGGTTTGTTTGATCAGCCCAAAATGCAGAGCGAGCCCATTCCTGAGGGGTGGGACGAGAAGCCTGTGAAGGAGCTGGTGGGGATGACACTGGAGCAAGTGGCCTTTAACCCCAACAGAACTGTTTTTGTCTTATTTTGTGAGTAAATTCTCCAAACTGCAAATGTTCAGAAGTGTCTACAACAGGCAAGATATTAACTGAACATGAGCTTTCTAATTTCTAGTCTACACACGCTGCAGATAGGAATGAATTTAGTCATGTTTCTCTCTTTGCTGCAACAGGCTGTTTATTGGTGTGTGTTTTGTGTCTCAGATCTGCCCTATAGTCAGAAATCCCGTGATTTGTTTCCTCTGTGGGAGGAACTGGCTGAAGCCTTCAAGGAGCGACAGGAAGTGGTTGTTGCTCGAATAGACGCCTCAGCTAATGACATAGACATGWCGATGCAGGGGGGCTACCCATCACTCTGTCTGTTTCCTGCTCTATATTCTGAGAGGGTAACGTCTTTAATGTTGATATTTGTAGAAATAAGAACATCGTTGTCTTTTTGATTTGTAATTTTTACATTGTAAATCATGTCTACTGTGTGTCTGTTAGATGGTGGTTTACACAGGGAATAGGAGTCTAAAAAGCTTGGTTAAGTTTGTAGATAAAGAAATGGAGAAAGCCAAAAAAGACAGAGTTAAGGTAAAACATTTTTATTCCTCAACTATCGGACAGTTTTAAGTTTTAAATATATGAATGTGAGAGCTGTCCTTTATATCTTTGATGAAAATAGAAGTCTGTGCTTTGTGCTTCCAGGAGGATGAAGACAGGAGGAAGTTTTTCGAAGCCGTAGAAGCTGAAGAAGCAGAAAAACAAAACAAAAACAAAGAAGAGCTTTGATAGAACTAAAGTGTAAAGGAAGTGTTTGTGTTTCATACCTTCTTAAATACCTTTTAATCTGTMATTTTAATTCAGAGATCAGATTTAATCTGTTCAGCTATTCTGTCTCAAACATTTTCAATTAGCAAATCAAATAAAAGCCTAAACTCCGACAACTACAACCCTTACATTCACTTAACACTTGTCTTTGTTGACTTGTCCACTTTGTTTTATTTCTTACTACCAAGAAAAGTGTAAAAGCGTAACAGCAGGGGCTGACCAGTTTCACAGTCCCACAGCATGATGCTGCCACCACCATGCTTCAATGTGGGCACGATACTTCAGTTTCATCTGACCACAGAATCTTCTTCAACATGTTTGGGGAAGAAATCCAGGAGCAAAGGCAGAAGAAAGGTGAAGAAAGGAAACAAGAGAGAGAAAAGATGTGCATGCCTTGGTTTTGAGGAACTAAAGGGGCGGAGTTCATAAGTTCCTCTGTCCAATCACAGGACCCAATGTCACGAGGAGGCGGTGACTCTACTGGGTTTCTAACCAATGAGGATGTAGGGTTTGTCTTTCTAAACTCAAAGAAACTGGGCCTTTCTATATTTAAATGTCTTTGCATATTTAACTAAAGGCAGTATWTAGTGGTAAATTATCATTTTGTTTCAAAGACAAATAAAATAAAAAACTAAAATCATATTAAAATACACCTTTAGTAGATAAAAAGATTCTTCAAAACAAAGAATACAAACATTAGTTTAGCTGTTTAACCTTTTTGGTCAGTAAGTAAACATATTTTTCAATGAAAGTAACACATGTATCAAAACAAGTTTCTAAATTTGCTAAAGATTTATTTCTACTTAGGTAAAGAAAACAGCTGTTAAATCATGAAATGAGGAAACATCTTGAGTTAAAAGCATGTTTCTTAAACATGAAAAGATGATACCACATAAATAATTTTAAAGGACTTTGTGTGTGTTACACGATTAAATGAATACTTAGGTGGTCTTGGACAGACATCTTGGATCTAAACAGAAAACATAAAGTTAATCAGTTCTTTTGCAGATATAAAACAGACATTTTGATACAGCAGACTGTATTTTTTTACAAAGAAAATCACAGTGAACAAAGAAAGTAATGGGGAAAGAAAACGTGCCGCTGTGGGAGAAAACATAAGTTTGGGACCCAGAATGTAAATTGATCAAAAAGTGACAGTTCTGACATTTTAGGAGGGATGGAGGCAAAGAGTCTGAGTCTTGACTTCAACGAAACAAAAACGTACATGGTGTCATCTCATACAGTTCTATCTATCCTGTATCAGTTCAATCTAGTAACCAGGACTGGTGGGCCAAATCAAAAGACTTGGCAGGCCAATTTTGGCCTGATGCCCCCACTTTGTGCACCTCTGGTATAGAACAAATAAAGAAAAGAAAAACAAGAAAAAAAAACAAGAAAGACATCATTAGCATTTATTTCTTCTGCTTACACTCTACTCACAACTATTTAATTAACTTTTTCTTAGAGACACATTTGATTGCAATCCAGCAAATCAGTAAAAGAAAGTAAACCTAAATCCATATTTTAATTAGAGAGTACAGAATTAAAGTTTATTACAGTATAGAAAAGACTGCAGCATTGTGACAAAAAGAGAAATGAYAAAAATAATTTACATTAAAAATTTTAACTTTGGGGCCAGATACATGCTGAGAGATGGCCAGATTTGGCCCGCAGACCTTGATTTTGAAACTCATGTTATTACAAGGTAGCCTGGGTCTTGTGTTAAGAAGTGACTCATTCTGCAACAACAGGATGTATCAGGTCCTATGTAGCAGGTAAGTAACAGGTCYCAGGCTCTCTCTGATGATCTCAGGGATGATCTTTCTGTGACGCTCGGTGTGACGGAGGCTGGAGGAGGACGCCGCCGCTCCGCGCTGCTCCTCACACCGACTCGTCTCGTTCTCTCAGCGGCCGCTCGGGCAGCACCAACCCCGGAGGGATGGAGGCAGCCGGCGCGTACGGCGCCAGGAAGGCCGGGAGCGTCCGCTTCGACCCAGTCGCCTTCTTCACGCATCCCCGCACCATCCTCCGCCTTCTGTCCTGGGTAAGCCTCCCCCTCCTCCTCATCCTCATCATCCTCTGCAATATGTTGGTCTCCATGGAGGGACGGGCCTTTAACTGACTGCAGCCCCTCTTTCTCCTCAACATCTGTCTGAGACTGATGCGTCGTTTACACTTAAATATTTATTCATCTGAAACGGACAGAAATCATTTTAGCCTGTTTGYGCTTTATCTGAGCTGACAAGAGCCTCCAACAAGAATCTAATCTTTGTTTCCTTTGTGATGCTGAGCAGCTGTGAGTCACCCCTCTGAAGGAACAAAAGCATCATGTTTGCTCACAAATCAGCTTCGTGTGTTTGCCAGGGGCTATGTAGAAATAACCATGAAACAAAACGTCAAAACTGGAGCATCATTACAATAAACAAATAAACAAACAAGCAAACACATGTGTGAATATATAATTAGATAATTGGGGCTGTGGTGGGGCTTTAACTAATAATGTATTTCATACAACATAAAAAAGCATCAAATATTTATTTGCAGTCTCTTCTTTTGTACTGGTAACCCCTAAAGAAAAGATGTGAATATTTACATCTCAAAACCAAGACCCAATTTGGCATTAAATATGCATATATACAAAAAATTTCACTCAGATAAGCTATTTTAATCCATTATCTTTACCTGCTTCTTCCTATGGGTTGTGGGGGTTGTAACTGTATTTTAATACAAAATAAAGATTATAGATAATATATTGTAGATATCCTACAGTTGCAGACTGTGCTGCAAGCAGTGTTAGCATCTGCTTTACAGTGTGAAGAATAAGTAAATGTGTCAGCACTCTAAAAATGAAATGTTGGATTTACTTAACCATGTTATGTTACCTGGTTCCACTTAACTGAGTTGAGTAAATTCAAAGCAACATACTCATGTTCTTTGGCTAAAAAACTGGTACATTGCTTTGAATTTACTCAACTCAGTTAAGTGGAACCAGGTAACATAACATGGTTAAGTAAATCCAWCATTTCATTTTTTACAGTGAGGTCACCAGTTTTACAAATATCCGGCAGATGGTTTTCATATGGAAGACTTTCCTTTTTTTTAGTTGGTATCAGTCAAATAAGGTTGGGTTTAAAGTGTCTGTGAWGTGCATTTTTCTACAAATATAAAAAATAGATTAATAATTAATAAATAGAAAACACTTAAATACTTTTAAAAAATGGTGTATATTTGTGTGGTGTCAAAGGAGAACTCCCTAGTCTTCTTTATAYGGGTAAAAAAAACAAAAACCAACAAGTGAATGGCCAAGTTGTTTAAAAAATCTTTAATATGGTGAAACAATGCATTGTGGGGGCAGCAATACTGATGCTTTCTTCTGGATAAAAAGATGAAAACTGCCTGGATTATAGCAGTTCTTCACAAGTCTGTGTTGTTATTGTAGCAATGCTCTGTTTACATTTCTCTTGATCGTCACAAAAGAGCAGAGAGGGTCTTTTCAGAAACATTAGTGAATAAYAATCTCAACAACTGTTCATCTCAGCAKCAAGAACTATTTTTACAATTAATGCTGTCTTTTCGATAATGCATTTGTTTTTTTTTTTCATGTAATTTGATATAGTAGACACTTTAAAGCATTTATATGAAAACATGCTACTTTATTCTTTGTTTTGTTGTTCTTCCAACTTATCCCTCTGTGGAAAGAAGGGGCATCTACTATAAATTATTTTGCCAAATTTCCCACTAATGAGCACTGTTGAGGGACTTCAGTTGATCTTTGTAAATTAAACTAAAAAATATGATCATATATTTTTATGTTGTTGCAAGAAACATTTGTAAGAACAAAAATAATAAATAATTTATAAGAAAACAAGCATACTGGTTGTTGAGATTCACGAGTATATTTCAAAGAGTAAGTTTCTGACACTTTTTTGTGGTTTAAAAGCTGAAATGTGGGGACAACGGTTCTAAATTATGACCTGCAGCTAAAATAACAGGAAATTTATTTTCACAGCCATCTCAAACAAACACATTTGTCACAGCAATTTTTTTTTCTGCATATATCAAAACCAAGTCTTTACAGAAGCGACATCCACGCTCACCAGAAAACCAAACCAAACAAAAACCAGTGTCTTTCTGATAACTTTGTTTTGTACCTTTTTACACGATGCTGTGTCTGATCTGACACTCTGCCAGGAGAAGTGATTTATAAAACGAACAGAGCTCTTCAGATTTGCATATCTAAATGTATCTGTCTGAATCTGTGTGCAATTAAAGCATTTCCCATCTCAGGTGTCATGTCTATAAGAATTACCTGAAAATACATTTGAATGCATTAACCTTTTCATAATCATGGCGTGACCACAATGACAGGTACAACACTGTGACTTTCCCACCTGTCTCCTCCTGCAGGTCTTCTCCATCGTGGTGTTCAGCTGCATCGTGAACGAGGGCTACATCAACATCGGCAGCGAGCGTTTGCTCTGCGTCTTCAACAACAACGCAGACGCCTGTAACTACGTCGTTACCGTGGGCGTGGCCTGCTTCCTTGGCAGTGTCTGCTTCCTGGTTCTGGATGTTTACTTCCCCTCCATGAGCAACATCAAGGACMGAAAGCGTGCTGTGATGTTGGACCTCATCTTCTCTGGTACTGAATGAACACAGCGGCAGTAGCAGACATTCTTCTAAACTCAGTTCCAAACTACTCAAGTCAATTTGTAAGAATAAGACAAAGAAAATGTATTTGCATTAGAAAAGGAAGATTGATGAYGGCTTAAAGTCTAAAAACAGAAAACATGAACGGTCCGTGGAAAGATCTAACAGTTGTGTTTTCCTCCTGCAGGCCTGGCCAGTTTCCTGTGGTTTGTTGGCTTCTGTTTTCTGGCCAATCAGTGGCAAGCGACGTCTCCAGATGAGCTCCCATTGGCCCAGGGCGCGGATGCTGCCAGAGCCACTATCGCCTTCAGCTTCTTTTCTATTCTCACCTGGGTCTGTTTGTTTTTTCACGCTGTCCTTTTTCTGTCCACATGACYATGAGTGTTCATTATGTGTCCAGCTGTGTCCTCTGGTATGAGTGAGTGAGTCTCTGCTGGCCATTTAAAAGCCCTTACGTTCTGAAGGTTGTGCAGAGCTTTGCCTACAACCTCTCCCATCATCTCCATAGTCTAATTTTTACCATCTGTTACTGAACCTATTACAGAGCGGATTTAGTTATTTTTCTAYAATATATCAGCCCAGGGACCCATGTCAATTTGTACACATTCTTACCTGTGCTACCGTTGACTTTTCAGATCCAGCTTTTAATCATAGTCCACAAACTTCCATTGAAAAGTCTGGGTCCARATTTTAACTGTTGATTTAAGGTGATGTTGAAGTCAATAATTCATCCCCTTAGCACCACAGTATGATGGTACCACCACCATGCTTGGCTGCTATATTGTTCTTCAGTTTTAAAGCTTCACCATGGTTCCTTCAAACATAGTTTGTCTCTGTGGCCACATTGTTCAATCTGTGTCTCATCCGATCAAAACAACTTTTCTGCAAAATGCCCCGGGGTTATCCAGTTGCAAACAGGTGTTGATTTTGGAACAGGGGCTGTTTTCTTGGCCGGCAGCCTCTTGGTTCATGGGGATGTAAAACTGGCTTCACTGCGGATGTGACCAATAGTAGTTTTCATTTCAGGGTGGGCTTGAGCCGTGGTGGTTCCTGACATTTTCCTGAACATCCTAACCTGCTTTCATCTGAGAGGCCAAGTTAAAAGACATTCAGCACCATTTATTAAACTATTTCTATAAAGATATAATGTTTGAGCATGCTTTGACCCTGTGTGGACCAGAGAAAATTTGTTGTACATATAAACTTGTGCACCTGATTTTTGGTTTTAAAGGAATTGTTGTTTCATAACTGCACCCAGGAAACAAAATGGTTAAAAAGCCTAAAAAATAACATTCATGTTCATGATGAGTGTAATGTAAACTTTTTACATAAGCCGTGTACTTTTGAAACCTGAAAAACTTGGGCAATTTCTGCCCATTAGAAACATTATTCTTTAAAGGGGCAATATCATGTAAAATCAACGTTTTTGAGTTTTATATCATGTTATAGTGTTATACTTTCATAAAAAACATGTCCAAAGCCTTGCTTTGACTCATGCATGCATGTTTGAGAAATCCTGCAGTATTTTTAGGCAGCCATGCCGAGGAGCAAAACGACAGGTGGGGACCAGAAACACCTTTTGATACCAGAAACACCCCTGGGACGTGTCTTTAAACCGAACTTCCTCATGGCAGAGCATACACACACACACACACACACACACACACACACACA